TGAATGTTTTAACAGAAAATCCAAATAAAAAATTTCATAATTCTTTAAAATTGGTATAATTTTGCTATAAAATTCTTGTATTTGATGTAAAAAATTAGTGAACATAGGAATCTAACTACATCAAATAAAAGCTTAAAAGCTATATACTACAATGTGTAAAAGTCCCAAAAGCTTGAACATCATGATTTATGTAATTACTGTTTTATTGGAAGATAAATCATATGTATCTAATTTTCTGTATTTTTGGGGAAAATATTAACTGGATTTGATGCCTTTTATCTCTGTATGGAATTGGTCTTAATTTTTGTGAATGAGTAAAAACATATTTGAAATGTATCTCCAAAAATTAGCTCACCATTAATTGAGTAACAAATCTCTCTATGTGCTGGTAGTTTGAGCCGTGCTCAAATCTTGACAAATAGGTTGGTTAGATGAGTGTTTTTGCGATTTTCTGCATGTGTAATGTGAATATGAGTGAATTTCCTTCAGAAATTCATTAATAAAGGCAACTCATCTTCTCTTAGGCAGATAATTATTACAAGCTTTTTCATGGTCAACTAAATTTACAAAAAGTATGATTTTATTTAGGGAACTTTTAAGATCCAGCAACACCACTAGCAGTATTCCCCTTTAATTATAATTACTTATATATGTATATAAAATTACGTCTCTGAAGGTTCTAAATTAAAAGGTTGAAGTTATAAAATATGGAGGTTTTTGGAAGTATATCCTTTTATGCTTTGAAAAGGAAAACAATCCTTTTGGAAGTAATATAACTTTTTATTATGAATTTTGTGCAAACTGGAAAACTGCCTTTTTATTACTTTCAATTAAAATTTATTTTATCTTTCTAGAAAGTAAATTATGTAAAATTTCAATTATGTAATATTTAAATTGATTTCAATTGAAAAAGGTCAAATTAAAAACTTGCTCGTATTAATAGAAAATACTTAAAACATCTGAAGGAAAGGTGCAGATCCTGACAAATAGGTTGGTTACTGATTAGATTAATACAAATAGGTTAGTGAAACAAACCTGACAAATAGGTTAGTACAACTGATTAAATCTGAAAATCTAGTAGTACTTAGATGCTTTTCAGATTTAATTAGTTATACTTCTTCCTTAAATAGCATAATTTTATTTTATTATTCGGTCATCCAAAATTGAAATAAAATTTTAATTAGGCCATCCAAAAAGTTTTATGGTTTTTCAGATTGAAGCATTTTTCTTTTATTTAATTTATTATGGTTGATAAGGAATGGCCTTGATAGAAATGGATGTTTTCTCTTCTGTTTTGCGATCCGCGAGCGGTAAAGTCGCTGAACACTGGTAGTTCGGTCTGAAGTTCGAATCCCGTGAACGGGCTGGCTGCATGGGTGTTTTCGTAGTTTTCCCCATGTGTAACGTGTATACGAGCCAGTTTCCCTTAAAAAGACCTCCACGGAAGTCATCTCTCCCCTTAGGCAGATAGCCCTCGAGGCTTTGCCATAACCACACACAATTGTTCTCTTCTGTTTGCTTTGTGCAATTCTAACATTTGTTGTGACTTAATTTTTTTTTTTTTTAAGTACAGTTCTAAGAATGGAGAGTTCAAAATTCATTTTCATCATATTATGCTCCTTTAAATAAAATGTATACATATTATATGCTTAAAAACATCTGTTTTAAGATGATGTGCAAATTTTGTTTTATGTTATGAAGTTTTTAAAAAAACTCATAAAAGTTACTTAAAATATATTTGATTTAAGCTGAAATTAGATTATGTAAAGAGAAAGAAGACAAGCAAATTTAATTATAAAAGTGACATTTCAAATAAAAAAAACTACTCTATTGATAAATGCTTTATTACTAGTCTGCTTAATATCGTATTAGTCTGCCGACGGTTAATAAAACATTTTCTTTTGAAAAAAATCGTATTTTAATGCTTTTTGTTAATAGACATTGTATTTGCTACTTACATAAATTGTTTTCTAATGAAATAGCTATAGCATTTTCCATTAAAATGGTTTTTATTTGAATATATTGCATTGATCATTTCATAAGGCTACATTATAGGGTCTTTCTCCCGCCTTAGCCTTCGTGGTATAGTGGTCTGCACGCTCAGTGTGTAACTGAGAGTTTCATGGTTGGATTCCCGGTGAAGGCGTTGCATAGTTTTCATCTTGCCTGCTTAAATACCTAATGTCTCTACAGTGGCACCCGAACTAAAAGGGTCTTGGATGGTGATTCTCCTCACCCAGGATTTGGCGATTGGGTCCCATAAAAAATTGCTTTTTAAAAAAGCGATTTCTCCCACCTTCTTAGCGAGCCTACGTGATGTAGAGGTCTGCACGCTCAGCGCGTAACTGAGAGGTCCGCGGTTCGATTCCTGGTGAAGGCGTTGCATATTTTTCATCTTGCCTGTTTAAAAATACCTAATGTCTCTACAGTTGTGCCCGAACTAAAAAAGTGCTGGATGAGGATTCTATACATCTAGGATTTGGTGATTGGGTCTCCTAAAAAACCCCAGCCCCCCTTTAAAAAGGGGAGTATATAAGGTATTTTTCTCGCTTTCCTAGCTTGCCTTCGTGGTGTAGTGGTCAGCACAGGGAGCCGATATTCCAGAGGTCCGTGGTTTGATTCTCGGCGAAGGCGGTTGCTAATTTTTCAAGTCTCCTATTTCCAAAAATACCTAATGTCTCTACAATGCGTTGTCCAAGGGTTCTTTGTCAATCGCCAGATTGAATTGCTTCCCTGGCCGCTCGCTCTCAGGATCTTTCGCTGATAGAAAACATGTGGTCTATGGTTGCTGAACGATTGACCCAGATTACATCCCAAGCTGCCACACCAGATCAACTTTGACAATGTGTGGAAGCTGCTTGGTCTGCTGTACCCCAAGAACACATCCAAAGTTTCTTCGAATCAATGCCGAGATGTGTGGCAGCCTCAATCTCCAACAATGGCGGCTACTTTAGCTACTGATTCTGGAAGGAACCACACTTCACAGAAGTCTATAAATTTAATCATTTGGTACTTGGCCAACATGTTATTTACTAAATAAATTTTGTTGTGATATCTCTTGTCTTTCTTGGTGTTGCAATTTGGGGGGGCCAGCAGTTATATTATGATGAACATTTTAAAATGTCTTCAAACATGTTTTCTCTTAAGTTTATAAATATCTCGTACATCAGGTTTTATATTAAAATATTTTCAGAATTTTTGGATTATTTTACTGCTGCATTGGATATAAGATAGTTTTATAAAAACCACATTAGAGTTCTTACAAAATTCCGATATCCATTGGCTGATTGATAGATGTATAGTTTTGGGAAAAATGCAAAATGGAGACATTATGATATTGTAAAACTTTATTTTTTGTGAGGTTACTAGATAGAACAAAATGATTCTTCAAACCAGAAAGTTAAAGAAGAGCAAACTACTACTTCAACTTACTTTAACTGAATTTGAGTTTTTAGAAATCTAATTTTCACCCTTAGCTGCTGTTATACCAACAAAAGAAAATCAGTATGAGTATCATCCCACTCCAAATAAATCTGTCTTGAGTCTTCACTTAATTGTTTGTGTCAGATAGAAAAATGTTACACCTCTCTCTACATATATGTAACCACTGAAAGCCTGAAAATATATTCATGGCTTACATCAAAACAATGTCAGTCAGACGGATATCAATTGATGAATTGCTTCGGCCACAGTGTGGTTCCATAGTCAGTTTTGTTTGAAACGGACACATAGAAATCTCATTTAGCCAAAGAAGACTCTTTGATGTCACATCTGCTTTTGTTTTCCATTTCTAGACATCATAAGGGGAAAAAAGTTTTGCTTGTGGTCTGGATATTGGACATCTGTATTTCAAACTTGATACTGTATAAATATAATACATAGTCTAAGTTGTACTTTTGTGACATGAAAAAATCAATTTGAATTCCGTCAATTGGCCAACTAGAATGAGAGATATAAAACTGTGTTCCCCCCCTTTTTTAGCCACTGAACATCTTATTTTGGAAAACGTGTAATATGGGATTTGTATTCACTATTCATGTTTAACTAAATAGGCCAAATAAGCAGATATCTCAGTTTTATTGTACAGGGCACATTTCCTTCATCTCAAATGCCTTAGATGTCTTTTGTGATACGTTTTGCTTTTATCCATGAATCTAATGCTTTCATTACTTATTCATGGTACATGCATCTGTTTTGCTTGCAGCCTTGCATTTTCCAATCCCATTACCATGTAATGGACTGGCATAGGAATGTGAAAATTTATGAGGTGGTACATGATCTTTGTTTATAACAGAGTGCTTCAAATCTTGCAGATATATTACATTTTCTAGTCCATGGTTGCAGATACTGTCAGCATGTGTGCCACTTTTCTGTATCCTGCTCTGGGGATTAATGATGATTGCAAAATTTCTACTCTTTGCATTTGTTGTTTTCTCTCATTGCAGTTTCCTGAAAGTTTTGTTATTTTCGAAGTTGTGTAGTCTTTCTTGTGAGTGAAAATCAAACATGCTGGTAACCATATGTAATAAATTGAACTAAAAATTAATAGATATATTCCAATGAAAGGTTCTGCATATCTGTTAGTTTTATCATTTTATATTTTCTTTTGGAGAGTAATTGTTTATGAGCTTCGGAAACAGAATTTTAAATTACGTATTATAAAATATTAATTATATTTGCATTTTTAACCACTAATCTGCAGCATTTCAACTGTCAATTCTATATCAATGTTCATTTTTAGGTAAGTAGACAAACTTTAATTTTTTTCTCCCTTTCTCTTAGCAGTATTGAAAATTCAAACTTGAAGTACTTTTTTTATGTAAAAAGCAGATGTAATTATTTTGTATTTTTCATCTATTCATTAATTAATGACTGGAAATGATAACGGTTATAAATAAGTAGTTAATTAAAATATTTATAAAATAAAAGAATTGTCATGAAAAATTCCGTCTTCCCTAAATTAATGACAGTTTTAACATTTTCAGTGTTTCTTTTTCTAGCTTTTGCTCATTTCAGTTGGATCTTAGAAAAGGAAATACAAATGTTCCTGCATCTCAGAAAGCAAAAGTATTGCCACAGAAAAATAAACAAAATATAGTAAGAGTTTTCTTGGATTACTTTTATTACACATTTTCTATCTTAGATAATATAGTAATAGTACATTTAAGATGAATGGCATTTTTACCACAATTCACATACCTAAGCTATTTAACACCTTAAAAAAGGATGCTTGCTTTGTATTTTCAAAACCAGGTTTAATGCCATAAAATCTATTCTATATGAAATCACTTTTAGGCTTTTAATAAATTACATTGTATAGAAATTTCTGTAATCTCTGCATTTTGCTCTAGGTGATACCAGCAGTAATAAAATGCATTTAAGTAAATTTAAACAGACACAGTTAAGTAAACCTATCTAGTGAGTGACGGGGGCACAAAAAATTATCTTATATTGGTTCTTGTGAAATTGTAATTGAAGAAGTGTAAGCGCTTTCACAGCTGTGGTCTGCTAAGAAAGTTAGATGTCCTTATGCTCGCTTTAACTAAATTAGTTACATAAGACAAAAGAATGATTTTAATGGAATGGTCAACATTAAAGGTCTTGTATATTGTGCTTAAACTAGATTAAGTTACCTATGGCAATACACAGAGTGATTTTCAAATCATTCTGTGTATTGCCATAGGTAATTATCATTCAGCAGTGATTGTATCCCACTTCCTTAATTACCTGTTTCAACACACAGCTGCTGAATTAAAAAAGTCCTTCTTCCCCCCCCCCAAAAAAAGGGGCACTCTGTTTTTCAAACCAGTTAAAAAATCAGCTTTATATGTAAGATAAAAATAGGTAAATCGGCTTTATAATTCAATTTAACAATAGGCTTTTAATTCTTCATTTTTAAATATTTCCTCTCTGTATTCTAAAAATTTTAATCAATCTATGATACATGGCTTGCATTATGCTGATGACGTAGCCAATTATAAGCTTGAACTACTAAGTTTCATAATCATTATGGATTAGCATACTAAGCAAGCAGAATTCTTCCTTTGCAGTGTGGATCTATGCTCTACACCAATCAACATTTGCTAAGTCTTTTTGTATTTTTATCACATGTGTATATATATATAATAGCATCTATGCCATACCCACTCTCTTTTGCTGACTATTGTATGCTTCATTCTTAGACTTTATCTCCATGGGTAAGGACGTTTTTCTTACCTTAATTTTATTTTTATATATATTGGACTGGTAATGCAGAGCCGTGGATATTAGATTATTCTGGATATTAAATGTCCAGATTTCAGAGTTTATACTGTATGAATACATCAATCTACTTTTATCTATCAATATCTCTTTCTCTCTCTCTCTATATATATACAGGTGGTTATCAAAATAATGGAAACACTCTAGATTTATAAGGAATTCTTTATTAATATGGCATAGGACTGCCTTTGGCATGTAATACAGCTTGGATTCGCATGGAAGTCGAATCATAAAAATGCTGAATAGTGTGTAGAGGAATATTGTACCATCTTAATGGAGATATCGTGAAAGTTCCGGGAGAGGTGCTGTTGGAGGATATCGATTCCGGATTGAATGCTCTAAAACAGACCATAATGACTCCATTATATTATTATTCCGCACAGTCCCTTGAATGGATATAGGTCTCCATTCGGGGGACTCTGTGGGCCAAGGTAGATGTTTCATTTTGTTCATCAAATTATAATCGGACAAATCTCACTTCATCAATAGGAGCATTATCATCCTGGAACATTCCATCTCCTGCAGGAAACAAAGTTTGCATCATAGGTTAGACCTGGTCAGCTAAAACTTCCCTATACTTCTCCCCAGGGCTCTCCTATTCCTTATAGGGCTACAATCGGGCTAGCAGAAAACGACACAGCTGCCCATACCATGACAAATCCACCTCCATGCTTGATGGTTAGAAGGAGACAGTCATGAGCATATGCTTGTGCAGGTATCCTCCGAACGTGCACCCATTCTGTCTTAGGGAAAAGCATGAAAGATGGTTCACCTGACCATATAACTGTCTTCTACTTATCAAGCGATCAGGTTTTGTGGTTCTGGCACCACTTTAGACGTTATTTGGCATTAACATGTGTGACAACTGGCCCAGTAATTACTGCTCTGCCATAAATATTCTGTTTATGAAGGTGCCTTCTAACTGTTTTGACACTGGAGAATACAAATGCTGATTGAGCTCTGCAGTCACTTTTGCTGCAGTTATTTTTTTTTTAGACATTACAATCCACTTTAGTACCCATCTGTCTCTTTCACTCAGCTTCTCTTTCCGTCCACCATTTTAACTTTGTCTAGCTTGTCTTGTCTCGGTGCATGTATGCTGTTTATTCTAGAGGTACGGTGTCTAAAGTCATAAGACTTTAGACACCGTACCTCTAGAAATACGTAATGGCTCAGATGTTTTAGTCAACAGTTGTTCCAGCTAGTCTGCTTCTACAATATGACCTCTTTGAAACTCTGTGAGGTCTGACATTTTTTGCTTCTGACAACAATCCAAGATGTATACAACTTCGATAAAGCTACCTCATTCTACTATGATATATACTTCTTATATTAAAAAAACTTAGTAGCTAGGAGTATAACTTTATTACATACAAAATGCATTCTTAAATGTCACTTTTATTCACAGGTGTTTCCATTATTTTGATAACCCCCTATATGTGTATGTGTGTAAAGGCCAATTCTTGATCACTTTCCCCTTTTGCATTGGAAACTTGACCTTTAAGTGATATTTCTATATGCACTGAATGTTTCTGTTAATCATACATTTTTGTATTTTATGGCAAGTATAAAAAGTTGGGAATTAATAAATAATAGGTAATCTTATAAGGAAGTATTATACTTTCAACTGATATGTTCAGTCTAGTTATTGTGAATTTTTATAAGACTTTAACAACTAAAGATCTAATAATTTTTTTTCTTTCTATCTAAAATGTTTCCTGTTTATTCTGAGATAAGTAATAATTTGAGAGAATAATCTCATTTGAAGCAGAAATAGGAAGGCATCTATTAAATTTTATGACAGTTGCAAAAGTCTGTAGGCAGTGTTTTTTTTTTTTTTTTTTTTTGTGTGGTGTGTGTATTTGCTTTAAAAAGGTTTTATTTTTATTTTATGCAAAATATTCAGTGGTATCTTTTGAAAAGAAATTATAGGTAAATCCATGTGGCTTTTTTCTTTAATATAAATATATTAAGTAGAAAGTGTGGCTACTTATTACAAATTTCTTCTTGTTTCATAGTTAATCCTGCTTAATTTCAATAGTTAATTTAGGTCAGTCGTATGTGCTAAAAATGTGATGTTCTACTAATGCTGTTTACAAGGTAACACTGCCACTTTCTAGTTTGTCAATACCCTGAATTTTAGCTGATTGAGCAAGTAAACAGATTCTGAATAAATTCTGGCGCTATTAATAAACATATCTGATTTATAGTTTAAACTTCTGCAGATACTCCATCTTTTTATATTAATGAAAATTTGTAATTGTTTGAAGGGCTGCTCTTACGAATTTCATTTGACATCATTTGGAATTTAAGCTGCTAATAAGGGGTGTTCAAATGAAAAGATATGAAATGGCACTATGGGTATATTGAAGTCTTTATTCACAAGTAATCACTAGAGGCTTGAATACAACTATCTCACTGTTTCATGAGTCAAAGTATTCCCTCTTCTCAGAATTCCTGTAACCGTGACAGGAGCTAGTCCTCCACAGTGTTCTTCAGATCATCATCTGAGGTGAAGCACTTCCCTTTGAGATGCCACTTCTCACCTTGTCGATGAGTTCAGCCATGATTACCATATTTGCATGGCCTGGGCTCATCACTCAAACATACCAGGGCTTCATGAAAACTAGCTCTCCACTTTTTCACTAATTTGTCAGATGCACTGTCTCTCCATATATGACCATCACCCGGCAATGAATATCAGCCAGTTTAAACCTTTCCACAGTCAGGAAATGTGATAACATTTCACTGCTCCTCAGTCATCGAATTTTGCAGTGTGAATGCCATGATGTCCTCACATGCACTGGCACATCAATTGAAAGGAACACACAACTGCCTCCTTCTCTCTTTGCATCATGTGCAGGCACTCATGCATGCAGACAACCATGCCAGACATTGCATTCACATCGTTAGGTGTCTCGCTATGTCATGCTAAAGTGGCATTTTCAAATTTCAACCGATTTATTTGTTATGATGTTTTGTACCTTTTCATTTGAAAAACATTTTATACATTTTTCTTTTAGCCAACCATGAGCATGGTGTTTATTTTCAAAGTAGTTTTGTGTTTCTGTATATATTTTATCAAATAATTTGTTACCATTTCTTTACCATGCAGGTGTAATATTTATAATATATATGCTTAACCTCTATATATAAGATCAGAATGATTCTTGTTTAACTTTAATATATTGCTCATCGTATTAATTTTAATTGTCTGTACAAATTGCAAAATTATTTTTTTATATTCCCTTTGATTTCCACTATTGCTTTTTCTGTAAAAAATACAGCATTCTGTAGGTTTTTTTAAGTTAAACTATTTTATTTTCCAAAAGGAATATTACATGTAAAACTGGATCTATGTTTTACCAATCATCAAAAACCAAAGTAATTGCTTCTACACCTAAGAATTCTTAATTTTTTCACAATGTCATCACAAACTTCATTCAACAAATATCAGACAACTGTGCTCTGTTTGTAGAAATATATTCAGGTCTCAAACTTTGCGTCATTCTTTTGAATTACTGCATTACCCCCATTTTGCTGCAGTTTATCATGAAATAAACTAAGAAACTGTTTAAAAAAATAGACATTTTAATATTACGTTCATATATGGAATTTTCATAGAATGTTGCATATGAAATTTTGAAAAATAACTTTTCAGTTATCAGTACCAAAGAACATCACAAATTAAATTTTGCTTTGTGTAACCTACAAAAGACTTGACGAAATATTGAGACATTTTTATGCCATCATGTGTTTGTGGAGATCCATATGCGATAAATCTTCTAAATAATTAAATGAGAATTCAAGATTTCTCGAATTTTATTTATAGCAATGCCCAAGGATTAACAAAGTTCCATATACCTTACCGGCTTCTCCTGTTAGATCACATGCTTACTATCCATGTTTCCCTGTTGTAGGATGAATGCCACATTTGTCATGCAACTTTTGCTTTCTGAGACATAACTCAGTACCTTAATAAAAAAAATGTTAGCATAAGGTGTATATCCAAAATAAAAGTGGGATTTAATTGTTACTTTATTTATATTGATGAACTTGCTCCAAAATCTAACAAAATTTTTAACTGGGGAATATTCTTACAATAGTTCATTTTTCTTCTGACATACTGGCACCATTTCCTCAATCAAGGCATGGCATAAAACTATAGCCAGTTTTATGGTGCTATTACATGTCATAGACTCATGTCTGTAATACAGCAACATGATATCTCACTGCTTTATTCTTTGTTGCAGATCTAAAAACTTTTAGTGTTACCTATTTATCACCACTAATTTAAGGGACACATCTTGGCTTTCCTTTGTAGAATCTTTAAATACAAATAAATGCCCATAATTAATGTACTATTCATTGTCAGCAGTTTGTCAAGCTAATTGTTTGTTGTAATTTACATTCACTATATTTAACTCTTTTTAATAAAACTTAATTGAAAGGAATCTACCAAGGCTTGAATGTTTATAGCCACAGCATTTTATAATCCAAATGATTTAAACCATAAAAAATTTTTCAACTAATAAATGGGCTGTATGTAAGGAATTTTTATTTTTTCCCCATGAATTATAAGCCAGCTTTTCTAGGTCCTCCATATATACTTCTGTAATGTTTGTTTTTATTTTAATTAAATGTAGGATGATGCTAAGGTTTGATTGCAGTGTTGCAATTTAATACAAACTAACATTATGTTAAAATATCTACTAAACACTTTTTTATATTTAACAGGACATAGATTTTTTTAAAAAATTCTTAATAAAGGCTTTTTATCTTTACTCATAAAACTTCATGTGATTTAATATGTAAAGCTGAGATCAGTCTTCTAAAAATTAAGTAAAAAATATAAAAAACTAAAATAGATATAGAAACAAGGAAGGGAAGCATTTGAACTAAATCCATGCTTTTATTTGCAAATAATTTTGTAAATTTGTGAAATCTGTACATACAGATTAAATGATGTGATTCATTTGCTTGTAATTTTCTTTCACTATTAAAATGCAACTCATGTCTTGCAGCAAACAATTTGCTCAACTACAAATTTTTCGTACGTATGGAATGGTGTCGATAGAAACTTGTCTACACCTCCTATTCCAATACCAGGTAATTATGTTTATTTTGCTCGAGTGGTAGTTGGGAAATTAACAATTAAATCTATGGAGAATTGGTATATTTTTTAAGTTAAATTATACTTAGGTTAGGAATGTCTTTTAGAGAACAGTGTATGCTAGCAAAAGAAATTTTAAGGATATTTTATCAATAATAGAGAAATGTTTGTCACCGGAACAACAGCTCTTATGTTCAGTCTTCAATAAGATTAGGCAGTGAAGAATATTCAGTGCTTAAAGAGCAAAGTGGAATAATAAATCATTAATATTTTGAAGGATTAATATTTTTATTCTCAATAAAATATTTATTAATCCTTTTCTCTTGAAATTTTCCTTGGTTAAGGTTTATAGTAACTGAGGATTTTTTGACTTTTTATGCCTAAAAAATATTTTATGAAAGCAATACTTCTGATTAAAATTTTAAGGCCATGATTCTTAATTTTTATCTTTCTTATAATATTAGTGTTATAAATAGAATTTTAATTATTTGTAATTTCCAGTTACATTGTATATTTTATTTTATAATATATATAATTACATGATGTATTACAATATATTTGCATATATTTCTTAAATAGTTGCAAAAAACCTGATTGGCAATCACAGGTTCTACAATAATAAGCATTTTTTCTTGTCTTTATTATTGAACAACAATGTTTTTTTTAAAGGCTTAGTAATGTTACTACTATCAAGAATGGTAATTTGATACCAAAATATATTTAATGGATAATTTTTGTGTTTATTAGCACTTCTTTTGAAATAATTTTTTTTTTCAGTTACTGTTTTTACCCTGGTGAATAATATATCTCTCAAACTAGCTGTACCGAACTAGGTACAGAAAGCAATGAAACAAAATGCAATTAAAATTTAATTATAAATCCCAAAATTTTTATTCATTAGTGCAGTATATTGTTTGGTGTGACTAAGAGGTCCACATAGTATAACACAAAGCTTTGTATATACTTAAGAGGAATATTTTGAGTTCAAAGGATTAAATCTTGTTAAGAAAGTTATGCTATAAGGAAATCAAAATGTGGGTAGGTTTTAAGTGTCTGCTGTTAAAATGACCATGAGTATCTATTAATTCAAAAGAGCTGGAAGGTTAATCCTTAGGTGTTTATGATTTTTTCTTTCAATTAAAAAATCTGATGCACACACCACATGACTTTCCTTGTATTGAATTATACTCATTTTTTCATGCACTTCATTTAAACTTGTTTCATTTGAAAGTGGAACATGCTCTTCAGTTCAGAGTACCCTTTTGGCATTGCCAACTGCAATAAAAATGGAGGTGCATAACTAGATGCTATAGAATAACTAGATTTTGAGCTATATGTAATAGATGTTATGACAGAACTAGTCAAAATGGATATTTCCTTTGAAATCTGAAAACCGAAATTTTTTGCCATCGTAATACTTTCTTTACTTTGTACAAGGAAGTAAAAAGAGTAGTTTTTATATAAACTTGATTTGAGATTTTTTTTAAAGTAAAATGTTTTGTCTAGTTTTAAAATATCTTGTGTAAATTCTTGAGGACATGTGTATCAGAATAGTTTAATACAAGATGTCTGTTATTTATTCATCAGGCTGAAAAATTAGAGAACAAATTATTACAAATGTTGCAAAACATTTAAATACACAGTATTATTTAACTCATTTTTTTTCTTTCATTTGGAAACATTATTACAAACATTAGCATCCATCAACATTCAGAAAAAGCAGCATAACTATTAAGTCATTTTTAACTCTCTAGGGGTGCTTTCAAATCTAAATTTATCAAAGGACTTTTAACTGTGTAATGTAGGAAGAAATTAGAAGTAACATTTTGGATGGAAAACTCTGTACAGTTTAGATACTCTGAGCCATGAAAGAAGACATGAATTTTCATTTGTAAGCCATCATGATCCTAATGTAGCCTTTTTTAAAATTATTTTTCCTTTGGGAGGGGGGGAAGCCATTCAGCAAACACAGTTCTGTATATCAATCGCACATAAAGAAATCCAGATTCATAAAGGAAACGAGCATATTATGTGAAAAGAAAAAAATAAATGTATCTTGCATTGGCTATTGTGATCAGTCATTTGAACCTTATATCATTCCCCTCCTCCTGTTGGTGTTGTAATCCTTTACAACCTTCATGTTTATTGATCTGCCCATTACTTGATTAATTTTAATTCTTATTTTTCTACATTTGCATATTTCATAAATTTTCCTTTTCTAATAGCTATAAGAAATAGGCTGATGATTTATTTGAATTGAGTTTGTGGACATATTTGTGGACTTTAAATTATTTTTACGTTAGTCACATCCTTAATGAAGTCCTTCAAAAAGTTTTGGAGTATTATGCTACCATGCATTTAACATCTGTACACCTTGTCCATTGTTTTTCAATTATTTAAATTTTCCAACTGTGTTGGTTGTCACTGCTATTCTTTTGTTTAAGAAATTTAACAAAGTTTTCTCAAAATTTTAGGCTGTAAGAATACCATTTGTTGTCTTTCATGCAGCTTGGCAAATGTTAACAATTTAACCTCCAATGAAGCCTAGCAAGTAGCCAGTTCTCTCTATATGGTTATTTGTCAAAGCATAAAATTTTTACTTTTGAAATTGGGTCGTAATTACTCAACAAATTGAGTTATTTGAAAGTAAAATCAAAGGTTACCATTGTTTTATTGGTCACCATTGATTTATTTTAATAATCTGTTTATTAAAGTTTTAAATACATTTAATTCATAACAGTATTTCAACTAATGATTTTTATTAACATTTGCAGAAATAATTAGTAAAGGTGCTATGAAATTCTATGTATTAGTTACCTGGTACAGAATAATTTTTATTATTATTATTATTATTATTCAAGATCTCTAACAGATTGTTTTAGTAATAAATGTTTAAAAGTATTGACTGAAATACCTTTATCAAAGTATGTATTGTTTTCTCTATGATTTTACAAGAGGATGTTCTCCTCTCCTTTCAATTTGTTTATAAAAGCTATTGGAATGTAACAAAAAGAACGTATGCAAAATGGTGACATTGTTTGACTGAAATGTAATGAGATAGTGTTTGTAATGAGCATAGTTGCATAGTTAAGTTATAAAGATTTTTTAGGTCCTGACAAAAATTATTTTGCAAAATTTATGGCTGGCCGAATAAAATATCAAGATAATGTGATCAGTTCAATGTAATTTCATTGGATCTGTGGATTTTCTGCTTCATTTCATATAAAGCAATGTAAATTTCACCTGACATATATGGTATTGTACTTTTTTGAAATGGTGGTTTATTTAAGATATTAGAAAACTAGGAGTATTTTTAATTTGTCACTGTTCATTTATGATGTATGCAGTGTGTACACAAATGCCTTTATGTGACTTTTATTTTCGCAACTATTGTTGATATGTTTTTAATAACAAAATGTTTTGATATGTTTTGCGTTTCTAAATTTTAAATAATCAGTTTTTAAAAATTACAAAATTTACTTTTAATAATATGGTTCCTCAGTTCCTATAACTATGTTTAGTAAAAATTTAGATGCTTATGTATTATTGCAACCACCTTAATAGAACTAACCAAATTTTCAGGATGTGCCAAACTCTGGCAACCAGGTGCATAACTATTGGTCAGGCAACTATGGTCATTACAAACCTTCAGTCAAACAATGTCACTATTTTGCATACGTTCTTTTTTTTTACATTCCAATAGCTTTTATAAACAAATCATGATATTTTTTTCCTTAATTTTAAAATATGCACTTGGGGAATTTGCCAGCATCGAAAAAAAACTAGTAAAATTTCTTTAGAAATACAAAATTTTGATGAAAAATCTCAATGAGAACAACGAGGAGATGCAATTGATAGATAGCCAGTGTTACCAGAGTTTTCACGATGCTGCATGTCTGCAATTATCTGATGATTTTTTAATTGTAAACAGATCTCTGTGTATTTGGCGAAAACACACACACACACACACACACAAAAAAAAAAAAAAAAAAAAAAAAAAAAAAAAAAAAAAAAAACAGAAAAATTTGGGTGAAAAGTAATTGTTTTATTTTTTAATGTATCACATAATACTCATTCAGTAATTAAAATATGGTATTTTAAATTATTAAGCTATGTTTTCGTTTCATATGTTGATAATGTTTGTCAGCTTACAAATTAATATTGATAATTTAGGAATTTTTTTTTTTTAAAGTTTGCAAATCCCGCCAACTTGTATCAGATAAGTTTTAACTTTTCATCTGTAAAAAACCACCAAATTGCACCAAAGTGATTGCATTAACGAATAAGTACCGAAAGTTATAAACAAATTAAACACAAGTTTGGATCTCGTACAGCAAAAGTTGATCAAGATGTTTGCTTGAGATGATGCTTTTGAAAATTCAGGGGTGCTTCACAAATTAAAAAATAAAATATTTAAATTTATGTGCAACTAAAAAGGAAATATTAGTTTAAGAAAAGGTTTCTGTTAACAGATTAAGTGACAAGTACTGGTATGTAACATGTCATGAAAACGTTTTGGTCAATGTATTTTGTTTTCCTCAAAAAAGAGATCTTATTCACAGAATATTATAAAATTTATGGTCTAGAAAACAGTAGCATTCTTTCAGATATTGACTCATAGCCAACTTATAACATGATTTGCATAAATTAGAAATGTAAATTACTTCTAATATAGTAATAAAAATGAATTGTTTTGTGCGATAGCTAGATTATGATCCTAAAATTGTAACAAAATTGTTTATGAATAGTATTAACATGTTTTTCACATTTGAAAATTTATAAATTGTGTGAAAATGTGTACAGCATATCAAATATAACAAAATTATATATTATAGAATAGTACATGTTAGTAGATCATGAAAGAATATTGCTGAAAGATATTAAAGAAAAAAAAAAAAAGCTTTGAATTATCCCAATTTATTTTTTAACCAATCTCTCAAGCAATTAATTTTTATCAATGACAAAATTGAAAAATCTCAGACTTTGAATTAAATACTGTAATATCTTTTTAATGTATAAGAGCTAAACATTCTTAATGTATTCTTTAGAATGAGTATGAACTTTTGCTAAATATGTCTATAGGGACTGGAGGACCTTAAAGCTAGATTTTTTAATTTTACAAACTTATTTATCTAAATTTAAAAACATTATAGCATAAATATTTAAATCATTAACAATACTTTTATAACAAAGTGCATATTTCCAACCAGTACTTCTGAAAATAAAGGCTATTTAAGGACTTTTATGCACGTGTTATATTAATAACTGTGTGGTATTATCATCAACAATATGGTTTTTAATGTTTTAAACTGAAAGAACAAACTGTTTGAAAACAGAGTTCGTGTAATGATTTTGGCAAAATTTTGTATGATTTTTATGATGAATTATCTTATTTACTCATTCTTTTTACATACTGTCCTTTCCCCCTTCTTTTTTATGTTACAGGCAAAGTTTCTTCTGAATGCTACAGAATTCAACCTGGAGCTTCAGAAACAGCGAGTGAGCTTAATGTAAGGCTTAGTGTAATTAATGCCTTATAAGATTTAATGTTTCATTGCTTTATATTGCAGCAGTATTTTCAAGTTGATATTGTTGATCTATATAAACTTCTTTTCTGAGAAATTTTTAAAATGCTGTTGGTTTTGTTTCTTGTAATATTAGCTATATAGCATTGAAATATTTAATCTAATAAATTGTTAGGTTTTCGTTAGAAGCAATCTTACAAAATAAACCATGCCTTTGACAAGAACGACTCCAGCACTTTCAACTGATATTTGCATATACACAAAATATGGGAAAAACACTACAAGAAATGGGAAAAACACATTTAATTCCTTACATCCTCTTCACAATTGAAATATGACTGAGAAGATGGAGACAAGCCACTATAATCCACTACATTCTAGTTTAGACTGTACTGTGAAGTTATTACTTTTTTTTTTTTTTTTTTTTTTTTTTTTTTTTGTGTGTGTGTGGGGGGGGGGAGCAGGAATTTTAAAAAATCCACTATGCCTTCTCTGGTAATCAAATCCGATAATAGTCAATTGACAGCTAAATGTGTTGACCTTTTGTTGTCATCACAAAGGCATATGGAGGAAAGGCCTTTAATTTTTTTTAAAGTGATTTCTTGAAGGATCACATCTTTGATGAGCCTGGCTGTCACTATCGCCAGAGCCCCAGTAATCTTTCCTTCTCATCCTGTATACTATTTTCTCTTTCTTTCCTCTTTGTGGTTTCCTTTTCAAAGTCACTCTGAGGGGCTGTTGTAACATTTTTGCTTCTGGCTTCTTATGGTGTGAAAGTTGCTCATGTTAAGCAAGGACTTGTAAGGTTGGAAAGGAGGACACTGTTAGTTAATGGATGCAGTATTATCAAAGCTCAGCTGCTTTGGCTTCTTCTATACTAGTCCCACATGTATCAATATGCTAGTCTAATTATACTTTGGCTTGTGGCTAAGTATTTGGAACCTCTGCTAGACACATATTAGCAATGTGTCCAGCTAAAAAGAGGGAGGGTAACATTGCTAAGGAAAGGAGGCTGCTGGAAACTTTGCTGTGAGAGTGTATAGACATGATAAACACTGGTACAAGAATCTACATTCCCTTGTTGGACTGCATGGTATGGCCTTATCCAAAAATATTTGCTATAGTCTTACAATATGGCATTTTTAAATGCAGTTAATACTTCCTATCAAAGGCAGCAACAGAGTGTATGTAAGTCTGCAAAATTCTTTGTCATGAAAAATATTGCTGAATTATTCCATTATGTATCTCTTTCTTATTTATGCATCTTTAAGCTGTGTAGTACAAATGAGTTTGTAGGATTTAAGCATTTGGAACCTCTGCTGGACACATTGCTAAGGAAAGGAGGCTGCTGGAAACTTTGCTGTGAGAGTGTATAGACATTGATAAACACTGGTACAAGAATCTACATTCCCTTCATGGAATCTACATTCCCTTGATGGATTTAAGACAATGTTATTTTAAGGGTAACATCGTTTTTGATTTTGAATATTGGAATATACATCAAACTGCTCGAAAATATCCAAAAATGGCTAAGAGGCAGCAGCAGAGTGCAACAACTAAGAAAGCCTCCGGAATGCTCTAAAAACTGCTTTAAAAGAGGAAATTTTTCAAAAAGTGGAAAAATTGCATATTAAAGATAATGATAGCAAACTTTGCTTACCTTTTATTCATGGGTTAAATATCCAAGCGAGGGATGTTTCATGATATATCCACCAATAATAGCAATGCATATTTACACACAAATCGAATTTATTAAATTTTGACTGAAATATTAAGAAGTGACGAATACATTAAACATATATACAAGCACATAAGAGAGTAATATTAATTAAGAATAGTAAAGTGTTACTAAAGAATATTTTTCAAAATGTGATTTACGATTGATTTACGACAGTCCAACCTTTGATCATGCATTTTGGAAAAGTGTGGAAATTAGATTTAGCTCGCTTCTTAATTTCAGCAATTTTGTTTGGGCAATGGCTTGTTGAAAATATCTGCAATCATGGAATTTGTTTTGCAGTATGTTATCTTGATTTATTCTCTTAAAAAAAGAAATATATAACATTAATATGTTTTAACATGGTACAGTCAAAAGTCGTTAATTCGGACACCCATAATCCGGAATGATCTATAATCCGGACCTCAAAGCTAAAATCTTTCTGCGCATGCGCCGCATTGACGCATGCGCATAGGCGTTTTACTCGTGCGCCCAAGACATTTACGACTGCGCATATGCGTCTGCGAAAGTGCAGAATACATTTTCGCGTGCGCGTTTAATGTATAATGGACGGTATAAGCTAAAATTATCTAATTATCTATTTCAGTTAATGTTGATGATTGCGTTGTTCCTTAATCTTCGAATTGGATCCGGCTTATTATTTTTTGCAGACTGTAAGAGCAATTTTCTAAAAGTAAGCTTGAACTTTTGATTATGTCAAATAGAATTTCCGATGCTGGAGCTCCCAAAGGATCTAGAAAACGAAAGTATGTTTCGATGTCCATCAAACAAAAAATGAATTGCTACAAAAAATCGATAAAGGCATATTCTTTGTTTATCTAACCGTTCCGAAATCTGTTTATCAATTTCACGCTGCTCTGCACGGGGGGGGGGGAAGATGTCCCGACGTGCAATGAATTGGAAGTTGATTTGTCAACACTATCCTTATCTTCAGAGCAGATGTTTTTATTTTATTCGGCTTATAATTCCTTACTAAATGTAGTATTTAATTTCGATGTACTCCGTCTTTGATATGATTTAAATCAAATTCCTCGTCATTATAAATACCACGAATACAAATCAAATAGTTTTCTGGTTGCAATTTTCTAATTTCGGCTATGTGTAAGGTATGCTTTACGCATCCGCGCGTTGAAAGAAATGTTTAATAACATAAACAAATATTGGGCTTCTTTTTTGGTAAATTTTGATACCCTTTAGATCATAATTGCTCATTATTTTATAAATTACGGTTTCATATTTTTAATTTTATAATTTCTGCATGCCATCTTACCAGATTTAAACTCATGATCTATAATCCGGAATCGCTGAAGTCCCCGACGAGTCCGGATTAAAGACTTTTGACTGTATTCACTTTTTCATGCTGGATGGGAGATATTGGGGATTTATTGCCCTCAAATATCTTAATGGCTAATTTCGGGGCTAGTCCAAAATTTTTAAAGAGGTTTAATATCCATTTGAGCTCTTGAGCAGCAATGGCTGCAGAAATTAGCCCGGGCTTGGAAGATGATGAGAAAATGCAATTTTGTCTCTTTGTGGACCAGAATATTGAGCTTTTTCCCAAGAAAAATTAATTTCCCCAGGTTTATTATCTGGTGATTAAATGAGATATGTAGTCAACATCCATATAGCAAAAACGTGTTAGTGGGTTATCAGAATCAGTTTGTAGGTAAATGTCCTGTGTAACGTTCAGGTATTGGATGACTCTTAGAACTGCTCATTTGGAGATTCTTTTTTCTTGCTTGATAGGTTCACTGCTACGTTAATGCATGTTCTGGTTACAATGGCTAAGTAAGGCTCTGATGGCTTGCCTATACTTGTTATTTTCTATTGTTAGAGAGATGTCCTTTTCCTTTGATAAGAAGTACCCATTTTTGTGTAAGACGGTTTGTGCATATCCGGACAAAAATCTCAAAACTTTTTTTTTAACTCAATAGGAACTTGTTGTCATCCCTTTTGATGTTGATTCCTAAAGTAGTTTCTGATTTCTCCTAATTCTTTTGCTTCAAAGAATTCATTCAGACATTTAATTAGTTTTTAGTTTTTTTATCTAATTTTCTCTTTTGCATCCTATATGGATATTATCGACATGGACAGTAATCATTATTGTGTCGTTCCCATCTTTCTTTGAAAGCAAGCATGGGTCTGCTGTACCCTGTGAAAAGTTGATATTCTTTAATACTGCTTTGACTCTTTTATTCCGTAAAGTAGCGGCCTGCTTTAAGCTGTATAAAGATTTTCTCAATTTGCAAACCTTTTCTTCTTTCCTGATGGAATTTTCCTTTCAGCTGTTGCATGTATATTTTTTAAAAAATTTTAGTGTAGGAACACTCTAGTGATGTCTACATGAGTCACGTGAATTTATCATATGTTGCAACAGCAACAAAGGCTCTGATGATTGTACGTTGAACTACTGGTGCAAAGGTATGGTCGTAGTCAGTTCCTGATTTTTGAATATAACCTTTTTGCAACTTGTCACGCCTTGTAACGAATGATTGTTCTGTCTTCATTTTCTTTCAGCTTGAAAATACATTGATATCCAATAGGTTTCTTTCATACAGGAAACTCAACTAGTTCCTAAGTTTTATTTTAGGATAAGGAATTGATTTCTTCATAAACTGCGAGTAACCATTTTTCCTTTCATATGCAATTAAACTTATCGAAGTCTTTAAAATTCTCAGGTATGTTTTTAGTCATGTGTTTTAAGAATCCTAGGCGTTCTGGTGGTTTCCCCTTCATTTTCCTGTCTGATCGTCTTGGCTCTCTTTTGGATATAATGTTAGATTTTTTTCCTCAGTTTTTTCCTAATTTTCATAGTCTTCGAACTTTGGATAGAGGCAAATTTCAATACTTTCATTCGCTGATGATTCTTTCACAAATTTTATGCTTGCATTGACAATACAGGATTTTCGCCTGTATAGATACTGTACGGCTTTGATCATTAATGGTAACAGACAGAAGTTCCTTCATTTGCTTTCTGGCCTAGTTTTCTTTGGTTTTCCTTATGCATAAATGCATATACTGTGCAACCAAATTTTTTCGTATGAGCTAGATTAGGTTTTCTGCCGCTCAATCATTCATAGACTCTTATCACAAGCTCTAGTTGGAAGGCAGTTCTGGATGTAATTTGCTGTGCTGAGAGCTCATCTCAGAAGTTCTTTGAAAGTCTGCCTTGGAATAGCAGGCACCTGGCCATCTCAGTAAGGCTTCTATTTTTTTTCACCTAGCACCGTTTTGAGGATGGGAAAAG